GTGTGCAGACTACCGTAGCTACGAGAGTCAACCTTGGAAAGAAATGTGAATTAACATATATTAACATCATTCATTTGGCTTGGGTTCAGGAAATCCTGCGCATCTTGCGGGGGAATGCTGCAACTGACGTAGATTAGGCTGTGTGCTGACATGCTTTTGGGTAGTAGTATACAAAGTATACTACACTGGGGAAGACACAGAAGTGAACTCTGTGATGTGTGTTGCTGTTACCTCAAACCGGAAAAGTTTTTGTGCGCTATATCCGCGCCAGCGTTTGCGCTAGGTTTGCGCTAGCACAGTTCTCAAATGTGATCAGATGAGATGTCCATTTCTCCTGGAAGCATGTCTTCGCCATTACTACTTGGAAAGCTTGTGCTCGTGTTTTTCCTATCAAATTCCTCACAGCATGGCTATCTTAGACGACGAAAGATCATCAAAGAGTAAAAAGGCCTTCACATTTTCATACATCCCAGATACCCTCTCTGAAATGTATTGAACAAGAAGAGGACCCCCACCAGAACGACGTTTACAGCCGCTTTCGAGAAAAAACATGTTTAAACCACCATCAAAAAAGGATCCTAACACTAGATTACCCCAATGCAGGTTACATATAAATGATTACATAATAATGATATTGCATGGAGCGCTTGTGTGTTGCATCATTTGCCCTGAAAAAGAGTCTCCCCCTTGCACCACCGAAAAAAAAAAAAAACAGTGCAAAAGAGCACAGAAACCTGTGAAGATACTCTTTCCGCCGTGCATTGACCCTATGTGTGGTGCCCATTTTGGGAAGACGTAGCGCTGCTGAAAAAGAACACGTTTTTGCAAAGACACGGTAACGCAGACGCAGGCGGACGGAGCATTGAACAACTCGGCCAAGCTCACAACATCTCACAACCCCAGAGACTCACAGACTCAGTGAAAGGTAATGTGGCTGTGGGTCAAAACCTGGAGCCCTAAACACTAGTAGGTTGACCTCCCTGGTAGTCCATTCTGTTAATTTGTGGCCAACCAAGGTCCCCCGGTTTTGACCAACAGCCATACTAGTTCCTTTTTCACCCACTCCCCCTGTATAGGTAAATACACCCACCCCATGGAGTGGGACGCCGTGAACTCGAAGGAACCAAGGTCTCATCACCGTCCGGGGAGGGGTGATGAGGACGGTCAGCACCCGGTTAAAGGCACCACCGGTCCTGAGGTCCGACCTGAAGTCATTTGTTTTCTCCGCTGCTCAGGTGGAAGTTCAACAGTTCCGTACCTTGGTCAGATTTGTTCATGGACTCATCACCTTTTTGTTGGTATTTCACTGGTCACTGGTCCTTGCCATAAAGCAATTTTTTCTTATGCCACGTTCGATGCCACGCAAGTATACGTACTCAGCAGATGATGTTCGATTGAGTCTGGCTGAGTAGGATGACAGTCCAGTCTTAAGGGGCATTGGTGTAGCTTTTGTCTCAGATATTGTCAGCAACCAGTGTTTGACAAGGGTGCAGCTGCGAGGCTCCAAGAACAGGGACCCCTTGGATAAGTGGGAGTTGTTTTTGTTTTTTTCGTAACATAGTAGGGGGGAACGAGGATGGCCTTGAGAAAATATGACGAAAACCAATCTCCACAACAAAAAAGAAACCCCAGACACGGCCTGTCTGGGACTGCCATATTGGCCGATCCATTGACCCCCCTGGCACCACTCCAATGTGGAACCTTTTCATGTTCGGTGACCAGAACATGCACGTTCCATTGACACTCTTGGGATGAATTGGACCGCTGGTCTCCGTCACAAAATTTCCGACGGGTCGGTGAACATGGAGGATCCATACCGTACCTGGTCGGTGCCTTTCTGAAAGGGATAACCTGGTTTTCATAGCGGATCAGGTGATCAGTATTTTCCCTAATGGATGAATCCCCAAACCTGGTGAAGATGTTTCTGGGTTGATAAACTTTGTTGAAGGAGTCCCAGTGGATCGTTGGGCATTGGCCACGCGAAGGAGCCCGGCCCCGCGACCCTGGCCCTAGCCGTGTTCAGTGCCATCGGCCCCGCCGCTTCCGCGCTTCCGCGCCATCGCTCCCTCCCCCCCACCTTTCATCATGTCGCTCATCATGGATTCCGTGTGCGCCTTGAAGGCCGCTTGGCTTCCAAAAGAAGACTCATGGATGCGACTGCACACCTGGGCACACACGAACGTCACGACATTCAGAGGTGGTGGGTGCAGTGGTGAACAACATTCGGCCGGGAGTCATTTGCGAGGAGGAATGATAAGGGAATATATGGGAATATAAACTTTTGGGGTAGAAAGGGCCAGCCCACTGGAACCCTGATCAGCCTTCATGAAGAATTTGCTAGGTTTACTTGTAGGTCCTAGATGTCGGCTTGGCGAGGAGCAAGCAAACATAGCTGGCTCGATGCAGCATAGCTGGTTACTGTAGGTGAATACTTTTCACTCGAAGGGCTGATGTTGCGTCGTGTTCCAGTCTCATGTGGGTGCATGTAGAATAGGAAGACCCTTGGGAAGAGCAATAATAGTCGAACACTCTATGGGCCATGTGAAGGAGGCTATTCCCCAAACAATCCCCGTATGACATATTTGCCCACAAAGGGTGGTGTTAGGATGTTTTAAGGGTCAATTTAGGTATATACATATTCCATATACATGGATTGTTCAGGTTCTATTGCGCACCAGAGCGTTTCCCTGGTTGCTGCTTGGAACAAGCGCGCTCTCCTGTCTTCCAAGGTGATCGTGTTGACCAAAACCGACAAGCGTGCCCATTCCCAGTTCTTCGCGCTTGGACAGGAGAAGGCAAATAATAATCGAAATAATGGGAATAATAATAACAATAATAATATTTAGACGGCTCCATGAGCCTTGGAAGCTGTTTAAGAATGATGGGTTTGTCTCAAAGAAGGAATTATGAAGGAACCCCAATAGCTTTCATGATGCTGCTGCTGGATTTTAGGTGGGTAGAACAATGTTTGAGACACTCCCATGTGGCAAGCCGTTTCTTTTTGTTTCTGTTTCTTTGTTTTTTTGGTCGCGCCATCCGAATCCACACTCCGGATTGACAAAAGTCGCAGATGAGTGGGCCATGTAGTGCAGTGCTATGCAAGGACGTGGTCTACTGACTCAAGGAGAAATCGAAAGACGTTGAGGGGCGGAGGCGCCTGGGCGGGGTTGGGTCGCCTAGAATGACGAATTCTTGGGCGAACAGGGTGTGTGGCGGTCTGGGTGAAGGATTTTTCTTGAAGTACCTTGCAGACTTGCAGACATCAAACTATCAAACATTCAAGCTGAGCTCCCGGAGCTGAGCTCCTAGCAGAGCTCACCGGTTTTCTACGCCCGACGCCGTCCGGACACCTGAAGAGGCGATGGGCGTCTCTTGCAGAAGCGGCTGTGGGCCCTCCGCCATGCGCTGGAAGCCGCCGACGCGGAGCAACGCCGGCAGGCGCCGTCCGAATTCGCGGAGTGAGGAGGTCAGAGGGCGATGACGGGAGTGTTTGTTTTCGATGGTTTTTCCTCTGTATGTTGAAGGGTGAAAGTTATGAAGCTAATCAAATGAGTTGATTTGAGATAGGTATATGGATATGCTGGCAGATAGACATGTAAATGTTGCCCATCCATCCATCCATCCATCCATCCATGCAACTAACTATAGAATATACATGCTATCGCAGCATTTGCCGAATGCTAGGTTTCTTTTCAATACGCCTGCGGGGAAGACAACTAGTTCAGTTCGCCAAGCACGGCTCCCAGTGGCCATGAGTGTTCATTGGAAGTGCTCCATGCCCACTCTGGCGACCTTTGGTGCTATATAGAGTCTCGCGGCTTTCCCGATTTTGGTTTCCAGGCCTTGTCACACATTGACCACCAAGACATGCAGTGTAATCCGGAGAGGGCACCACGTGAATCCGAAGAGTTCGCGTGGATGGCATGGTGCCTGGGATAGGGCACCACTTTCTACCGGTGAAGGTTCACTTCCGCATATCCCGCAGTGCAGAACATCGCCATCCCACGTGAAACCGAAGGACCTGGCCCCGGAGTTGCACACCTTTTGCTGAAGGATGGGTCTGGTCATTGATCCTTCACCACCCTCTCTCACCATCTCTCGCCATGGTTCCACCATATGTTTGTTTTCTCATCCTTCACTGCCAAATGATTGAGGAGCGGTCCTCCAATCCTATCCCAAACAATCCATCAGATTGGAAGGTGTTCTCACCAGGAGTTACACAGGGGTGTTGAGCTTGGAGGAAGTCGGGGTGGCCAAAACATCCACTCACTGGGCCAAAACATCCACTGGGCCAAAACATCCACTCACTGGGCCAAAACATCCACTCACTGGGCCAAAACATCCACTCACTGGGCCAAAACATTCACTCACTGGGCCAAAACATCCACTCACTGGGCCAAAAAATCCACTCACTGGACCAAAACATCCACTCACTGGGCCAAACCATCCACTCACTGGGCCAAAACACCCACTCACTGGGCCAAAACATCCACTCAGTGGGCCAAAACATCCACTCACTGGGCCAAAACATCCACTCACTGGGCCAAAACATCCACTCACTGGGCCAAAACATCCACTCACTGGGCCAAAACATCCACTCACTGGGCCAAAACATCCACTCAGTGGGCCAAAACATCCACTCACTGGGCCAAAACATCCACTCACTGGGC